TGGTCAGACAACGAAATCTCACATTATGAATCAAGCACAACTATACTGACTACATTTTACGTGAAATGACAGTTACTATAGTAGTTAGGTAGGTGAAGAAAAGAACTGGAACAATGTCTTGATATTCTCAGAAATGTTCTCCAACTCCCTTGGTCACTCTGGACCACTAGTTCACCCTCTGCTTTTTCAACAGTGGACAGGAAAGCGAATTAGGAGCAAAAGAGGAAAACAGTTTATATTCACTTAAAAGAAGGGAAATAAAGTTTCCCAGAGAGAAACTGGAGCTTCAGGTCAAGTAAGCAATGCACCTAAAATCTACCAAGATAGCCTGGAAAAGCTGCTATCTGAAATCAATTGAACAGTCCAGCAGCCTTCGAAATGAAGCAAGCTCAGTATGCCAGTGTTCTAACCAGACTAGAGGCAGCTGTGTCAAGTAAGACACCAGCAAGGAACATGGTACCATCAAACCCTACCTGCTGTACTTCGGGCTATGTTTGGTCACATAGTCTACTGCTGCTTGAGATTCCCGGGGTCAAAAGAATCTGGTTCCATCCTACCTTCTGCCAGCAGAAAGCCTTAAGATGGTTTTTATTTAAAAGTATTAAAAGGAAAGTAAAGAAATAACTACAAGACAAATTCTGTGTACTGTGAAAGTATCTGCTGGCCAGCCCCAGAAGGGTTGCCCAGCAGTGTCTTGACGATATGTTGTCTTGTACCAAAATGTATTTTTAGAAATAGGTTTACATTAATGTTTGTGCATCATGGTTGGGAGAAAGATGGGGCGGTCTGCTTCTGTAAAGATTCACAGCCTTGGAAGCCCTATGGGGCAGTTGGACTCTGTCTTACAGGGTTGCTGTGAGTTGGAATTGACTTGCTGGCAGTGGGCGTGGTTTTCGGGCACCATGGTCATAAATGTCATGTGAGTAGACAGACACATCTCATCAGCCATAGACCAGAGAATCTGGAGGGGAAACAAACGGGCCACGTGGCCTTCTGAGCCCAGGAACTGCCCTTACTTACCAGCAGATGGTAATCGAGTACATGACTGAGCAGCTCACTGAGATTCAGAGAGCTCAAAGGACAGCTGTGGATACGCTCACTCCTCTCCACCAGAAACTAGGACGGGGCTTGGGGGTACAGGGACAAGGAGAAGGTAGAGGGAAAGGGGCCGTGGGGAAATGGTGGCTTTCCTCTTCTCCTCAGCGGGCATTAGGAATGAGAAGGTAGTTTCTCAAGATCCACTAGCACCCCAAGCATGCAGGTGGGTGGCCAGCTGCACATCCGGGTTCAGTTCCGG